TGTAGAGGGCCTTTCACTTTTTTTTCTTTTTCCATACTTCTTGCTCAGCCAAAGAGCGTCTGTCGATATATTATATATACCCTTTCTTTTTCTGCGCTAGAAAATCACTGGAGCTATGTCAGTTTGTCACGATTCATCTTTACCACGGTCATATGTATTAGCACACAGGAGGTGGAAAAAAAAAAAATGTTTTCTCGCGTGTTTTTGCGCAAAGACAATTGGTCCAGACTTACCTCTGTGTTGGTTGTGGTAAACTGCAGTATACAGCTTGCCTGCAAAAAGTTAACAAGTTTAACGAGCGAAAGGACACAGGGATGATGATGAAGCACAACCGACTTCTCGCGCATTGTACAAGAGATACTTACGACATGGCGAGGAATTTGCCTCCGCGAAAGGTGTCTTATGTGAGCATCAGCGGCTCGAGGCCGCGCGCTCGGATGCGCTGAATGAAACGCCTGGAAAAATGCCGGGAAAGTGGAAGCTGATCTCGCCTTTTTTCTCTCTCCCTTTTTTTTTTTTTTTTTCTCCCCTGCGCGCGTGTCTACGTATATATACTCACTTACTCGGCCACTTTGGACATTGGATCGACGCTCTCTCAGATTTCGTCCACGCGCGCATGTTTTAAATACATGGGTGTGTCCATGTGTAGGGATAGGTGTGACCAAAGACCCGTAAAAAATACATAATCATTTCAGCCAATTATACCTGGGTGTATACGCGTTAGTGTTGTATCCATACGAATGAACGACGGCAATATTGTACTTGTACATTCCGAAAGCTCGCATGTAAAAAAATATGCACCACCTAAACGTGTACAGTGAACTCTCGAAGCATCTCCTCTTTCGATTTGTAAGTATCCATCATCAGGTATCTAATTGCGATGCTCATCGCTCGGTATTCTCCAACGAGTACATTGGGGGAGGGAGGTATAAATTTATTTTTTTCCACGTTGTTCTCTGCCCCATGTATTTATTTTTAATCGCCGCTCGTCGGCACTATTGATAAAACTCTGCTGTATTTCACCTGATATATAATCATGTAATATCATCTCCGTATGTTTTACGCGTGTTTCAGAAACCTGGCGCTGGGCATCGGCATTCAAAATTTCCCGGAGGGCCTGGCGGTGTCGCTGCCCCTGCAGGCTGCCGGTTTCAGCACCTGGAAGAGCTTCTGGTACGGCCAACTCTCGGGCATGGTCGAACCCCTCGCCGGTGTGCTGGGAGCCGCCTGTGTCGCCGTCGCTTCGCCCGTCCTGCCTTACGCGCTAGGTCTGCTCGCATACACACCACTTGATTCAATTCACCATGTGTTGTTTCAAAATTTCTAATTTCAATGTTTCTTTTTCGGTGTTTTGTGTAGCTTTTGCCGCCGGTGCGATGATCTACGTCGTCGTCGACGACATCATACCCGAGGCTCACCAGGGGTAATTTTTATTTCACTTTTACCAATAATATTATGTACTTATACATGCGTATAAACAAGGCGCGATTTCTCCTCCGTCTTAAAATACAAGTACTCACTCAGCACCATTCCCCACAAAAGAGCGTCATCGCCATTATCATCGTCAGCTCGAGTATTATGATAATAATATATACGTGTTCGGCGACAGTTACGGGAGAAACAAAGAATTACGCACGTATAAAAAACAGGTATGACGTTATAAATATAATATACCTGTTGGTAGGGTATACGAAAGGGCCATAATGGTGGCAATAAAAAGTGGCAAAATCAAACGTATGGAGAGCATGTTTATAATACACCCGTCGCGCGTATAACTCGTCGTCGAACGATTCATGAAAAAAAAAAAAAAAAACCCAAGTAGGTACAATAACTCACGCGCTCCGCTCGCGGGAGCACGAAACTGCCTCCCCATAAAATTTGACAATTACCCTCTCTCCTCCCCGTAACCGATCGTAATGCGCACGACGCAAAAAAAAAACAAAAGCTCGGCTTACGCGTTACGCGCAAGGGCCGGTGTGCGTGTAGCTGTGGAAAAAAAACGCCACACACGTGCGAGAGCGCGCGCGCGCGCGCAAAGGTAACGAGTTTTAAAGAAGACACAATACCCTGTTGTGTGTGCTTGCAGCCCTTACGGTAGCTGTCTCGTTCTTCCTTCGCGACGATGTAAATCAACGCGAGCGAGAGAGCAGAGGGCGATTTTTCAGCGGTAGCCCCCAACTGGAATTATCATCGGGAGCAAGGGTATATAGGGGCCAACCTCGACCTTCTTTTATGTTTTTTTTTTTTTTTTTCCCCTTGCACTGCTTGTGACGTGTGTATATATGCGTATACTCGAGGTATTAAAACGGAATACGCAGGGCCATTGTGTCTCTTTTGCGCGGGGCGAGACGTCGAAGAAAGAAAGAGAGGAGGAGGGGGAGGGATGGAAAAAAAGGGGGGGAGCAAGGGCACGCTTGGTTTTCTGTGCTATATACTGCCGCAGTGGAAACAAAAACTCAAAGACAAAAGCACCGGGGAGCTCCCCGAAGAAGCGCGCGCACGAGACCAAAAATACATGTCGTTGCGCAGTAGCCCATTGAAGAACAACCGGCCGCCGGTCCCTCCCTCCTCGAGGAGAGGATTTATTGTTGTTCTAGCCCTCCGGTTCGCTGGTTCCGGTTATATTCGCAGCTTTTTTTTTGCAATTTTTATTTTTCTCTCTTTCAATTTTACATTTTACGCAACAAAAACAAAAAAAAGAAACACGTCTCGGGGTGACTTTGCCAAGTATATACCACGAAAAATATAGTACGCACACACAAGCACACACAGCTCATGCACACAAGTTTATATAATAGGACACTCGGAGAGACATACATACACGTACATCATAAGAGCCGGACGCCCCTGCAGATTACAGCAGTGCAGAGTGCACTTGCAGCCGTTTCCGTCTCACGTTACCAAAGTAGCGAAGGGGGAGGGGGGTAATATCGCGGCCCAAGGAGAGCTTTCCCACCGACACAATATATAATGTATAACGTCCCCTGTCCTTTCTATTTTCGTTTTGTTTAGGAAGAGGAGGCGCGAGAAAGCTGCTGTGTTTTACGAAAGAAGCCGCGAGCTGTGTAGCATTGCATGTGTGTGTGTGTGTACCCAGCCATGTATATCTGTACAGGTATATATATTAGGTAGCGTGGAACACCACAAGAACACGTAGTAATATTATGTGTGTGTGTACATCTCGCGAGAGAGAGAAAGCCGTTCATTCACCTGCTGCTCTCTTCGTTTTACGCTGCAACTCCTTGCTTGCTGCTGCTTCGCGTCTTTGACTACGTGGATGTTTTTTTTTTTTTTTTTTTTTTTTTTTTATATTACATACCATATTTGCGTCTTTCTCTTTTTTTATGTATAATCATGATATTTCACAGATTACAAGTTTTCATTTATCCACCCACTGACAATTCTCTACTTCTGCGAGTGTACGCTGTAGGACAGGATGCAGTTGGAAGAAACTTTGAGACAAGCACGAACCGTCTGATGTGGAGAAGGAAGGAAGAGGATATACGGCTGATACAAAAGTTAAGAAAATTTTTTTTTTAATTCTATTTCATTATTCTTTGATAAGTAATCGAGCTGCTCTTCTGACTCTCACCCTATTCTTCCTTATTCCACCATTTACGGAGCAATCCCGTGAAGAAGATACGCAGAGGTACGAATCTTCTTGGTTGGGGATGTAACGGGCGATTGATACCTGAACGCTGTTTACGCTTACCTATACTGTGCGAGGAAAAAAGGCCGGAGAGAGAGGAGATGTCATTATGTGTATGAGAAAGAGAGAAAAAAAAAGAGAGACAAACGTTTTACGATGCGTATTAGCGCAGAACGATCTATGCCACCTCACGCCTACGAACAAGCGACTTGCCAGCAAGAAACCAGGCCAAGATGTCCTGTTGAGAGATCATCCACTCAGCCAAAAAGTGTAAGCACGAGGCTACAAAAAGCCAAGTAAGCGCAGTGTGTCCGTGAAAATCGTGAAATGCACGTAATTCCTCTCTGTGCCTGTTCGAATAATTGCCTTCGATCGGCTCTGAGAAAAAAGCTGGCCATACATGTCTTGCTGCTTATGCTATCGAGCGAAAAACACACACACATACACACAGATACTTTTGTACTAGTGCAATTGATATAGTTTCCATCTTGTAATCACTAAATGTTTGTGTCTTGCTTAACGTAAGCCTTTTCCTGCACAAATCCCTTCTGGCTACTCTTTATTTACAGGCTTTATTAAGAGATCGTAACGACCAAAAAGAAGTTATAAGCCAAGTATCAGCCTTATCCTACCGCCTTTGCGGGCTTGCGTGTAAACACCGACGCGTGAGCATCCTAAGTTAAGCCAGAGCTGCGCTGGCCCCTCAGCAAGCAGACGAGAGCAAGGAAAAGTGGACTCGTTGTCTGCATTGTAACGTAATTGTGTATCCAAGGGTACCTGGGAAGCACAGTATCAGTTGGAGTACTCTTCACATTATTAGTGGTTTTCAGAGCCATAAACGAGTATAGACACTCTGTTACAATTTTTATATTTTGACTGGCAACAGCACAAACTCACCGCTTCTCAGTAGAAAGAGGAAGAGAGAGAACGGTATAAGTATATCCATATAGGCGTGAAAGAAAAAGCGTTAAAACATCATCTGAATTATCTTCTATTACGTTAACATTAAAGAAAACAGTCTTCTTAAACTCTAAGTTAAGAGTAGTCTCGTCTTTCTTATTGTAACTCAGAGATATTTGATTGCTTGACATCAGTTATTTTAATATTAATTTTGTTTGACAGTTTCTTTTTACAAATAATGCACGCAATTGAAATATCCATATCCTCCATAGATTGTATTCTTAATATTTAATAAATTTATTAAAAAAAATTCTTTATCACCCAAAATCCTTCCTCAACCAAATTTCCGACCATCGGCGATCGATTAAAATTTAATTACAAGCAGAGCTCGCTCGAGTTTCGCATTGACGTACCTCGTCCGGCCAACGTCGGCTGTCCAAAGCCTCAGTCCTAAAGCTCCAAAAGCTGGCGTGCGATTTCCACCTTTCGATCGCGCATCGCACGCCACACGCGCGTGCAGTGTCTACAGCACTGCAACACAGAAGGGAGGCAAGGACACGTGGGAAGAACGAAGGGGTCGAAAAAGGGAGGGCATCAAACAGCGCTAAAAGTTCAACATTGGCCGGAGCGGGGGGGGGGGAAGAAACGAACGGGGGTAGTACGGTGTAAAAGATGGGCTGCCGCATCGCGCGCGCCAACCTACAACCCTCGGTGCCACTTTGTGCCGGTGTTCAGTCAGTGGCGCGCGCCACTAAAGCACAGACCGACAAGGGGCCACGAGATCCGCGTCATACCATGTATTTAGCCTCGACACGTGGAGCTTTGCACGCTCTCGTTCTTTGCTCCTCGGGCTTCGTCGGGCAATGACGCGTCGTTTTTTAATGTAGTTTCATTCCTACCCCACCTCCTTTTTTCTTTTTTTTTTTTCGACTTTCGTACAGTGAGGGTGAGGTCGATGATATTTTAGTATAGTCAATTAACACGTATTAGTGAGTGGCGTTGTGGTGACGAATTTTGGGCTATTATTTGATTGGACACGTTTCTTGAATATGTGAAATATATACATTGGAGGCAACGCGGGATCATCTTAACTGCAAACGAGGAGCGAGTAAAGAGGTAAAATTACAAGACACATTTTTTTCCATTCTGATTTTCAAGTGAAGCTTTTCATTTCGATACTGCGTGGAAAAACTATTAAAAAGTCATTACTAAATTTTTTTTTTTTTTTTTTTTTTTTTTTTTTTTTTTCTTTTTTGACAGCATATCGAGCACGATTTTGTTTACATCCAAGGCGCAATTTTCAACGATGGCTTTAATTGCCCAAGAATATAATGTCTCTTTGCACGTAAAAGTATCAAGTTACGGGTACATTTTATGGTGAAGCTGGAGGAAAAAGACCTTATTTCAATTATCGCTCTTGCAAGGTCATCCATCATTCAGAGTTCATATACATCATAAGCATGTAACAATAACACACGTACACCCCGGAAAGGGAGAATGGGAGCACAGGGAGGAATTAAATGGCTTTGTTCTTTTGTCACATGCCCGGGTTCGAGTTGTCCTCGTCCCTCGTGTCACCTTTAGCATATCCTCGGCGAGGAGACTTTTCTCTTATGTTTGGCCATGTGTACAAGCTCGGCCGTGCCGATCGCGTAGAGGAAAAACAGCTGTCAGAGAGCTAGTGTGTCGACTACACTCTCACATATACACTCGAGACGAGTGCCCGCAAAAAAAAGTCATACATCGCGATGACGCTTCGAAAACTAAATAACATTCGTGTGATTGGATGCCATGTCCGTAAGGCCATTATGCCCATTCCCCTAATGGTTGCTTTTTTTTAAAACCTCCCAATTGTTACTAAGTACACTACTATTTTATCTTGGTGTACTCTGTCATGCAATTTCTCCCCACGCCACCTCCCTTACAGTTCTCTTCTTCGCATCTCTATTCACGGCTCTTTTGAAGCATACGTCAAAATGGTCTCTCTTTGTTTGTCATCCCCTTGTGTCTTTTTTTTTTGTTTTTTTTTTTTTTTTTTCATACTATTCACCAGTCAAGAGAAAATC